CATATTAGTCAGGCATAATTTGCCCTTAGTGAACCCGTGTTGCCTGTCTTGGATCACTTCCTTGTCTTACACATGCCTTAACACTGCAGCCATGAGGGCCTGGTCCATGATCTTACCAGGCACAGAGGTGAGGGTTACCAATCTGTAGTTCCCCAGGTCTTCCTTTCTCCCCATTCTAAAAATAGAAGTGATGTTTCCCTTTTTCCAATCAACAGGGACTTCATCCGACCACCATGACTTTTCAAATATCATGGAGAGTCTTTTGGCAACACCATCAAGCAGTTCCCTCAGGACTCCGGGATGCATCTTATCAGGCCTCATAGACTTGTATCCATTCAGTGTCATCAGGGGATCTTGAACCTGCTCTTCACTTACAATGGGAGAGACTTCACTCCCACAACCCCCATCTAGAAGTTCAGGGACTGAGACACATGGGAGGCCTGACTGCTGGTGAAGACTGTGGCAAAAATCTTGTTGAGTACCCCAGCCTTCTCTGTAACCTGTGTTCCTTCTTGTTTATCAGATCATTTACTCCTGCCCAAGCAGGTCAGTCCCAATGATTCCCGTCCTTCCAGTGCATCTCACTGGACCTGACCCAAGATAATTTAACTCCTCAACCTGGTATACAATGACTCTTTCTTTATTGTTTTGCTCAGGATAGCTTTTTTGCCACCTTAGCAAATGGGATTGGCTGTGAAGGAGTCCAAGGTGTGCCAAAGAAAGTGCAAAGAGAGGTGTGGGGGAAAAGGCGCTAAATGAGTTGCTAGATCACCTCAAGCCATGACACGTACCTTTGCCCTCATGCCTGCTTTCGGTATGACATAATATTAAGGGTGCTGACAAAGGAGCTCTGTCAAGTCTCACTGCTGTAGTTGGAGGAGACACCACACCAAAACATGACTGCTCTGCCAGGAGTTGGTACTTGCACTGCAGGCAGAGTAATGGTACAGGTGCTGATGCCTCAGCTTTTTTGATGTAAAACTAAGCCTCCAGTGAAGGTGGGTGTAAGGCTCTGGACTTTGCACTTTTGAAGGGGCTGAGGCAGAAACACAGGTTCACTTCTGTCAGAGGAAACGTAGCAACCTGCAGCAGAGGGAAGGGCAGGCGGGTTAGTGACCTCTCAAGAAGGCACAGCAAGGTGTGCTAGCACTGGTGTGCCATCCCTATACAAACACTGCCTTAGCCAGAGGGGTTGTATAACCATACAAACATTGCCAGAAAAGTAGCTTCTGTAGGCAGGGCTTCAATTAATGCCTTACTAGATCATGAGACATCAATGCATTGTGAGGTATTAAAAATACTATTTTAGAGTTTCTCACTGATATAAAGAATACTTTTCACTTCTTCCCTTTCTCTTCCTGGGGCCTTTGCAGTTCAGCCCTTGGTACTGAAGTAGTCTGGCTTTCCAAAAGGAAAACTCTGAAAACAAGGCTCAAAATGTTTAAAACTCACTACTCTAAAAAAGTGTGAAGCAGTTCATCTGTAAATTCTGTTGTAAGAAAAACACATTAGTGTGTAACAAGTATCCAACCTGACTGACACCAATTATTCTAATCCTCTAAAACAAATCTCCTTAAAATCATTCTGCCAGCGTGCTAATGCCCTGCTTTGGTCTACTGAACTTTACTATGTGCCATAGCAGCAGGTGTACGCAACAGACTCAGAACTTTTAAAAATGAATGGAAATAGAATGGAAAGTAAGAAAATACAGAATTAGTTTTAGAAGGGAAAATAAAATTTTCTACAGTGTAAGGAGAAACAGGGCTTTACATGGCAGAGGGATTGCTCATAGGTAATTGAATGTGATGACACCTTTCATGCCTGTGATACACAGCAATGTAAATAAACTTTATGCATGTCCAAAAGTGTGGGTGACATTGTGAATTGCTTGGTTTCACACCTTCATGCCTTTATTTGTGCCCTGTGCAACACTTACATTGTATGAACTACATGATAGCTTTGTTTGGGAAGCAGTAGAGTGGGGGGAGAGGTTCAATGTCTGGTCCTGCTCTGGCTCTTTTATTCCTCTGGGTGGTTTTCCTATTCCTCTAGGTGGTTCTTGAACAGGATAGCATATGCTGAGGACTGCTTTGCACCTTTATTGACAAGTTCATAGTTTAGCTAGAGAATTACTACAGTTGCAATCCAGCATCTCTTGATTCAGCTTTGCTACCCCTAAGGGGAATAAGAGAACTCTTGCAGTGTGTCTGTGGGCTAGGCAGGAATCTGTCCTTCCTTGGTGATGATGAATGTGCCTGATAGAGGCTGTGATTGCTCAGTTTACAAATTCATTCCTGTATAATGATGTGAAGACTGCTGCTGGGCACAGTTTGTATGCATGGAGAAAGAGTTTCTAACCTAAACAATCACAATCTCGATCACACATCTTCATCAACATCATGTTTCCCACAACCTAAGGGGCAAACAGCTGAAATAAAATAGCACCAGTAAATAAAAATAAATAAAAATCTCTAGTCTTTGGTTTTGTTTCTCCTGATGTTTTATCTTCACATGTAACAGTAATATGTCTGACTGCTACTGCAAATGCTAGTGTGAAAAGCACATCATGCTTCAAGGGACAAAGCACGCTGTCCACCAGAAAACCTGATTTGCAAACAAAGGGCAGCAGATGCCCTCCCGAGGAAGATGTGACTTATCAATGCTTGAGGAATTTGCAACTCTGTGAACCTCACTCTGCAACTGGGGCCACGGACTTAGCTTTCTAAGACAAATCTCTAACTCTGTAAGGTGAATTTTCTGGTGCAGATCTGCCTAACTCTCCCTAAAGGAGAAAAATAAAGCTGTAATGACCAACTTCAGCTACTGCTGGAAGACATCCCTCTCAGCTCTTCACTTGTCAAAGCAGCATCATTACACTTGACAGAAAGGCTAGAAGGTCAGAATCTAGAAATACCTGATTCTGGCACAGGACTTCGTGCTTGCATGGCTGTGTAAACATGAAAAGGGGGAAAAATCCAAGAAAGGCAAAAGAATTTGGCACATAATGGCTTTTACATGACAAAGAAATGTGAATAGTACAACAATGCAGCAATAATATTTCTAATGTATCCAAATTTCATAACGTTGACATTTTGTAGTTGAACCGATCTTGCATCCCTTGCTGATTATGACAGCTGCTCTTAGTCTATCATGCCTGACTGATTTTTCAGATAAGCATTAGATGCAGAATTGTATCTTATTAGTTATAAGACCACTTAAATGTGAAGTGTGTACCTAAACCAAATGAAGTCCTTTGACAGTCCGTATCTCACCACATATGAATTTATCTGATATAATACTGCTTGGATCTCGATAGAGTTGTTAGGGAATAACTTTAGAGGATTAGACCTGTGCTTAGTGCTGTGCACTGAGGGGTAGATGCTACTGGATTCAAGGAGAACAAACGTGGGATACGTGACCCTACATATGACGGAACCCGGAGTTTGCAGCTCGAGCAGCATCAGCAACACGCACTGCTTGTAATCCCGTCAGGATTCGCGACGTGAAGGGGAAGAAATGGACCAGCACGGATGTTGCCTTTTTTGGGGGTGAAGCGTGCCGGGTTCCAGCTGAAGCGCATGTCACTGCCGCGCTGTGCCCTGCCGCTGTGCCGGGCTATGCGTGGGGCTCCGCGGGGAACGACACGCATACACCCCCGCCGCATCTTGCGGGAATCCCGGGTGGCACTGAGCCCGCGCTCTCATCGGTGGAATTGCGGGAGGCGGGTGTGCGTGTGCGGGCACGTGGGACAGCACAGGTCTCCGCAGAGCAGGATGGATGCCCTCGTCACACGGAGAGCTGCGGAGTGGCGAAATTAGAGCGGGGCGTGATGCGGGTAACTTCAGGGACACCGAGTTAGGCACGTCCGCCCTGTCCCGAACGGTGTCCCGCCCGGCTTGGCCGCAAGCAGTGTCTCTCCGCAACGTGTCTTTGCTTTGGTTTTGGTTTCTGTAGAGGCTTCGTTTGTTTGTTTAATGAATCCCGGGCATGTTGCGTGTGTGAGCGGAGCTGAGCGGTTATTTATTTTTCCTTTCTCATGAGGCGTTTTTCCATGAAAGCGTGCTGCTCGGTCGGAGAAAGACTGAACAGCGACAGCAGGACAGTGTTTCGTGGCCGGTCGGTGCAGGGACAGTGTTATCGGCAAAGGGTCACGCGGAGTAGTGGTGAGTTTTGGTCTGAAACCGAGAAATGAAGTTTTTCACGGTTTGACTGCAGTTGTCCCGGCGTGGCACGAAGCCGCCGACGGTCCAGGAGGTGTTTCCTGCTAGCAGAGCCAAGCAACCTGGCGGGCCCTTTGGGATAAATAACTCAGGGAAGTGTTATTTTATTACATAAACCTTTATAAAGCAGTGCATTCCTCGCCCAGAAAAGCTGTACCTGCCGCCTAATGCGACACTCCCCTCTGGTGCTGAACCTGCCGCCGCAGCAGTCGGAGGTAAAAGGCGGCAGGAGAAGTCCCGGGGGGCTTGGACTAGTCCAACAGCCCCGGAGCGGCGGGGTACGGCGAGGTGCGGTGCGCTGTCCCCTAGGCTGCCTGCGGGACTGCTCGCTGGGGCCGAGAGGGTTTCAACCCCGCCGACATGCGAGGCGAGAATTCCTCAATGGCGCTGGGCCCGCCCACCCCGCGAGGAGGTGGCACTGCGGGCCACGCCCCCCGCGCGCACGTGTGGGAGCCCTCACCCCCTGTTCCCCGTAGGCTGGCCCCGCCCCGCCCCAGGCGATTGGCTGCCCGCGCTGCCGCGGGCGGGGAGTGGGCGGGGCGCTCGTCCCGCGCCGGCGGCCCCACCCCCGCGCGGCGGCGGGAGCACACATCCCGCACGTAGCCGGCGCGTTAATCAGCGCGGGGCCATCTGCGCCGCCGTCCGCGCGCCGGGCGGGGGCTGCCGCGCCCTCCCGCACGCCCCGGGCGGTCCCGCACGCTGCTGGGGCGGCGGCAGCAGCGGCCGCAGTAGCAGCGCGGGGCTCCGGCAGCACCGCCGCTCCCGCAGCGCCGGGCCGCGGTGTGTAGCCGAGCCAGCCGCGGCGAAAGTTTTGCCTCGCCTCGCCTGGCCCCGCGCCGCGGCGGAGCCCTTGCCCGGCTCGGCCTGGAGCCGGCGGCGGCCCGGCGGGCATCGCCTCCCGACGCGGGCGCCGGCAGGGCACCGGCGCGCCCGTCCACGCCGCGCCATGCCGCTGGGGCACATCATGAGGCTGGACCTAGAGAGAATAGCCCTGGAGTACGTCGTGCCCTGTTTGCACGACATCGGCTTCTGCTACCTGGACAACTTCTTGGGAGAGGTGGTGGGGGACTGCGTGCTGGAGCGGGTGAAGCGGATGCACCGCGACGGGGAGCTGGCCGACGGGCAGCTGGCCGGCCCCAGCCGAGGCATCGCCAAGCGGCACCTCCGCGGCGACCAGATCAAGTGGATCGGTGGCACGGAGGAGGGCTGCGAGGCCATCAACTTTCTCCTCACGCTGATAGACCGGCTGGTGATGTACTGCGGAAGCCGGCTCGGCAAGTACTACGTGAAAGAGCGATCCAAGGTGAGGGTCCGCGAGGTCCCGTCCCTCCTGCCCGCCCGCCGGCACCGGCTCCCAGCCGGCCCGACCCGCCTCGCAGCTGCTCGTGGGACCTGCTTCAAACTTTCCACGGGCGTCCGCGCTATCTGCCTGTGGGTGCCTGTGGGCTCGGGCTGTCCCGGAGCACCGCCCCGGGTGGCGGAGGAGCCGTGCACTGCCCGAGGGACGCCCACGACGGCAGCCGCTCGCCAGCCCTTGCCGGCGGGCGGCCGGGTGCGGGGCTTCCGCTGAAAGCGGGGCCGCCCGCTGCGGGTCCCTCGCCCCGCCGGTGCCGGCAGCGCTCCGGGGCGGCTCCTCTTGCTGGGTTTTCCCTGGGCTCTTCGGCTGCCGGACCTCGACCAGTCCCTTGCCTGTTCCCCTGTGTGGCACCGGCGATCACTTCGCAGCCGTCCAGGGGGCTGCAGGCGGCTCCCCGCTTCTCGGTGGTGGGGCCAGACCCGCTGCACCCCGCCGCTCGCTGCTGCTCGCCCCAGGTGCAGAGAGGGTGGACCAGCGCGGGGCGTACCCCACCAAAAACGTCTAGCCTTGCCTATGTTTCGGGGGTGAGGAAGCTCTCCGCCCCTCCCTGCGAACGTACCCGGCTCGGATCCGATTATTTGGTTGTTTGCACGCATGTGGTAGTATTATACAAAGTAGTTTCGAGGTTCCTACTCATGCCAGTGTCCTGTAGCAAAAGAGATTATCGTTATTGCATAGGGTATGTGGCACAAAATAAGGGATGCTCAGTTTGAGCATTGCAAACTTTTGTCTTAAAGAGAAGAGTTGTTTTTTCTAGGCTTTTTTTGCTCCGAAATGGAGAGGACACTTGTGTTGTTATAGGACACTTATATTATTGGTTTCTTTCCCAATGAAGTTTATTTGCACTTGCAGTGTCATTAGTTTGGGATAACTTGTCTTTTCTTTCTTTCTCTGTTTTTCTGTGGCAAAGTGAACTAGCTTGGAACTAAGTTCATTCATTGTCCTGAATGCTGAAAACATCCCCATTTCTTTATTTCTGTAATACATAGTACAATTTCAAAATGTCCACTGCTTTCAGAGATATGCCAGAAACAAAAAGCAATGAAACTTTTAAAAAATGACAATAGTGAGCAGTTAGGCATTTCTTTTGGTCCTTACTTGCACTGGACTAAGGGGATGTGTGAGTGGTACTGAGATTTATTTTTCCCCCCCAGAAAAAGGAAGAAAACAGAATGGTGATGCTTACCAGTTGCTTGGGAACACACTGAAACCTGTGCGTGAGCCCCCCCCCCCAATTCCACTTACGGGTGGGAATAATAAAAGGTTGAAACACTGCTCCTATGCTTAGCTCCACTGAATTACTGATCATCAATTCAGTTAATGCTTGGGTAGATATGGTTTAAAATGTGGGTAGATTGGATTTCATTTATTCCTGTTGGGAGCCTGGTATTAGGAGGTATAAATAACCATTCTGCTTTGGCATACCTTTAAGGTCATCCTGGTCCTTTCTCTAGGTGACTTTGTTTATCTGTTTATAGCTGAAAGTGTGTTACTGGCTAATGGGGTGGGTGTTGAGGGGGTGAGAGAATAGGGGTTTACTCTAAAGTTGAAGTGAAAGGAGGTTGTCCAGCCTTTTTACAAGGTATTTGGAAAAAGAGACAACTGGATGAGTGAAGGCTTTTGGCACTGGCTAGGGAGAAGAGTCTTTTGGGGAGTGAGGTGATTTTAAAACTGAATTGTGTTGTTCTTGAAGTCATTTTTGTACAAATGGTAATAACAGAAAGGACAGAACTTGTTTTATGAATAGACACCAAGCTACTGCTATAAAGAGAGACTTTTGATACTTATGATTTAGTGTGGAAAGTGTCAGACTCTGAACAATGCATGAAAGTGCTACACAACAGTCCAGGACTGAAAGGCACTCAATATTGGTTGTAAAACTAAATGCAGAGAAATTTTTATCAGACATTAATAGTAACCTATCCCCTTGTTATAATAATAAGTACCATGGATATGTGAGGCCCTGGAATAGCAGCTGCCATCTGTAACTGAGATGTGGGATGTCTTCAGCAGGAAGATTATTCCTGTGACTAATCAACTGACTACTACAGTGCATGCAGGTTCCCACGTCGCCTATAGACATTTTTGTTCCACCATTAAACCTTCCCATTTTGCTTGTCATCTAAAGTCTTGTGAATGCATATACACAAATACCAAATTTAAATTCAGTGTATTTTTATCTGACAGATTATACACATAAATAGATGCCCATAAACTTTCATAGAACTTCTTTGCAGGACATGTCCTGCTGTAATTTATTGTTTTGGGATATAGATATTAGACGAGCTAAGAGTCCAGAACACTTTGTTTAAAATGCAAGCCTTTGGCTACATGGTAACTCCTCTTGTCATGAAAATGTATCCCATCTCATATCAGCCCATCATTATTTAAAGGTTTATACTTTTAAATAAGTAGTATGACTTTAGTCTTCAGCCTAAGTGTTGGAAGGGGGGGAGAGGTTTCCCTGGTAATTATGTCAGATTACTATCAGGTTAGTGTGAAGTGCTTCATGTTTTTGTAACTGCACAGAGGACCACAAGAAGAACTTTTGTCCATTAAAGGAAACTTTCCTTGTAGTTACATGAGCGAAACAAGCCAGGATTTTGCTGTTTCCAAGTGAATTTCAAGAGCATTTCAAGAAACTTAAAATTGCATCGAAGAGAGTGGACAGAAGTAAAATTTTACAAGAGTATTGGATATCCTTATGAGCTGTTGGTTGAAATTTGAGGGCTGATAGTGAAACATAACCTTTCATCTTTGCAGACTAGATAAAAATCTATCTTTGGAGTAAGTCATACTTTAAAATATTAGCTGGTTAGATGATCAAAACATGGTTAAATGATCAAAATAATAACCAGATAACAAAAGGATTCCTCTGTTGACAGACTTGCACTGCTTGCTGGCTTTTGCATTCTCCTCAACTAGAGTCTCCGTTTTCTAGTAAGATATTACAACGGTTCCCCTTTTTTAGTAGGTAAATGGCTAAGTATATCACTGAGGTGTTGCTGACCCAGGTTTAGCCCTCTCCTCAGAGTGAGAAGATTCACGTCCTTGAGTGAGGGATGCTCTGGCCCAGGGACAGAGGTCACTCTGGTTTTGAGGACCTCTTTCTACTCTATTGGAGATTTGCTTGAAGAAAAGCTGGTGGGTGGTTGGGACCAGGAAGAAAAGCTGCAGCTTGATCTGTGAGGCCAGTCACCTCGAGTGCCCCCCGGGATCAGGTGATGCTCCAGGGACCATGTGTGAAAGGGTGATATAATGG